GTGGCGAACTCGATGAGGGCGGAGAAGACGAAGGCGTAGCACACCGCGATGAACCAGTCCATGGCCGTGGCGTAAGCCACCTTGGGCAGGGAGTTGCGTGCGCTGATGCTCAGCGTGGTCATCGTCAGGACCGTGGTCACTCCTGCAGGGCACACAAGGTTAGTGTGTCTTTACATCATGGGTGCTCTGACTTGTGCTTGATCTCTCGGCTATTACAACCCAGGGGAAGCCCCTGCTTCTCCCCTCTCCTCGTTTCTTCTGAATTTCCCCACTCAAATGCCATGGCTCTCTGGGGGTAGCGGATTTTGAGTTCTGTGGAAGTTGAGGGATTCTGGAAACATCTTTTATGTTTTTGTTCTTTGGCATTGTTTTAGCAGAATCCAATTTCAAAAACTGGAATTGGAATATATTTTGAGTTTGTTACTGGATGCTACATAAGCTTCATGAAATTTAGGCAGTCACCTTTCCTGTTCCCTCTGCAAACTCTGTGCATTGTCCCACCGATTTAACAGCTCCGCGTTTTTACTTCTTGCAGCAATTTGAAGATACTTAGATAGAAAGCTGTAAAAGTACTTTTTCCTGTTCATTAGCCTGATTATTGCAAAACAGTTATTTAGTAAATATTAGTGTGTGTTCCTTCGCGCGTATGCACAAATGCAATTAGCTGTATCTGACACTGCATTTATTCGAACTGATGGTTTTAGAAATTTCTGTCCCTTCATTCGTGATGCCCTGGAAATAGCAGAAAAGTTACGTAAGAACAATGATACAGCAGTCTGGATTTCGATCCCAGAGCTTCAGGGCGCTGCTGGAGCTCTCTCCGCCAGCAGCAGCACTGCATTGAATTCACACAAGCACTTACAGATGCTTCAAAAGGACCTACAGTGCAGGCTGGGCATTTACATCAAATCACATGTTTGCAAGTTACCTAGACAACTGCAGTGTCATGTATTAAACGTCTCTTGCCAGCTTATTTGGACTGCAATGAGGGTTAGTGAAAATGTGCAGTGGGCCTAAAAAAGGCCAAAAAATGAACAATAATATTTACATAATAGTGTAAAGAATTTGAATTACTGGTGCCTAATAAGGATGCGATTTTTCTTTCCTAGGAGACAACCTAATCTTGTCTTTGACTCATTACTAGTGAGCTTATATTCCTCTAATGTACTAGTAAAATAGGATTTATGATTTGTATTTTCTGCAGTGTTAAGTGGGCTAAAAGATGTAAGCTGCTGTTCTATGTATGCACATATTTATGAAAAAATAGAGATTTTTCAGTGCTATTAGGGAATTAAAAATCTTCCATCTTGATAGACTGTGATCAAGTAAGCATAACATTGCTTACTAAATAACTGTCTTAAAAAAGAAGACTTACATGTGTGGGTTCTCGAGCCCCACATATAGTAGCTTGAACATGAGTGCTATTTGCTACTGTGGGGCTAGGAAATTTTGTTCTCCATCTAGGGACAAAGAATTACGGCATTGCAAACTGCTATTCTGACATTTCCTTTTAAACGTCGTGGTCAAAAGCAATAACATAGTTAAAATTTCAGTAGCTTTGAGCACAGAGTCCTTTAAGTGTCCCACATCAATTCTCAGTAAAGTCAATGATGAAACTTCAGAGCTGATTTTAGATTTTAATCTAAATGATATTATGTAAAACAAATCTAATTATGCTTTAAGCTGTTCTCCTCTGGACTGTCAGCTGTGTATCAGCAGAAAGCCTCAGCCCGTTGCCTCAGGTGCCCGGCCTGGGTCACACTCGGGACATCTCATGTGCTGTTTGCCTCATCATAAATATTGTTACTTGTTTTTATTTTCATTATATACTTGATTAATATCTCCAAAACGTGTACTAGTTGTTTGCTTCTAATTTTAAGTGAAGCATTTGTAGTCTGTGGTTAGAACTCCAGGGCCCAGCTGTATAGTCCCTGAGGAGTCCTTTAGGTTCTCTTGCTGCACTCGCTGAGTGAATCTATCCTAAGCATGATAAATCTTGTCACTGTTTTCAAGAGGCCTTTAGCAGCTGTGTTCAAAAGGGAGTGCTGAAAATGATTTTAAGATAAGCATTTTCAAGTGGCGTAAGGATGTCAAATGGCCAGTACTCACTGATGAAAACCTTTTTGCTCATCTCCATTATGAATGTCATTGCTTCTGTTTCCCCTTTTTCCTTGTGGTTCTTATACACGTGTATTATTCACACTTATACTTGTTTGGGAAAAGTAGAACTGGACTAAATCATTCAGGATGTTGTCAGGTCTCTCTTTAGAACCAATTGAAAGGGTTTATATCGTAAAAAACCAGTTTCTGCTACATTTTTGCAATGAAATGTTAACTACTGTCCACTGTGCTATGTACAGTCTGCTGCTGTTCTCTAATATTATATAACCTGCTATAGCGTAAAAGTTCTGATACTCCTTTGGTGTCCCTTTCCCAAGGAGTGTATGGGCTTTGCTTACCAAACACAGTTCTTGCTGGAACAGATTCCCTATTGAGCCAGAAGGAAACCTGTGACAGAATCACTGTCATGATGCATGGCAGGTAAGTCTGAATGACAAAGTAACCGATCTTTCTCTTCAAATGAAAATGCGTAGTCATAACAACGTATTCCCCTAAAAACGAGAAAAAAAAAATGGAAAATGAAAGCTTTTACAACTTTACAAATTAGAAGGCTGTGTAGAAGGCAAGTTTTTTTTTATTTGCCCCTATTATAAAAGGAAAATATAGTCCTTGGATTAAGCTGGTTGAGCTCTGAGAAAAACATTTAATAAGGCAGATATTAGAATTCCACTAATAATACAAAATTGGATAGTTCTGGGAAATGTTAATTAAATTCACATCTTTTCATCTCCTCTGAGCAGTGAATGAAGGTCTGCATTCACTGGTGGCTGATCAGGTCTCTCATGCAAGACCTAATCCCATTAGAAAATGGAAAACCGACATAATATTCACATGTAAACAGCATTCAAGGGCAAAATGAAGACAGATGTGTTTCAGGCAAGCCAGGCTTAAGATGTTGTGGTTGCTGTGCCTGCATGTGAGCTGCGGGTGCCTGTGCTCTGTGCTGAGCAGCCCAGCGCTCTGAGTGGTACCCGCAATAGGAGCAGCCTCTCCTCAAGTGAACGGCTGGTGCAGGAACACGGGGGGTTTTCACTAACACTGTGTTATCGGGTGCTGCCACAACGGATGAGCTGGGTTTATGACCAAGTTTTCTCAGGCATTTATACAACCTTATAAGCCTTTCCTGCCAGGGCACAGCAAATAAGGCCCGTTTTCATGCAGTTATTTACCGCATCACTGAATTGGGTTCTGGGAAAAAAAAAAAAAAAACTTCTCAAAAGACAGGAAAATCTATTGCTGTGACATTTTGTTCAGGATAGATTGATTCTTTGTAAAATAGACATTAGCTTAGGAAAAGAACAGGTGGACTTATAACTGAACACAAATCTCTGTCTAAATTAGAGATGACATGGGAAAACACCCGTTCTCTTTTAAAATATAGGCAACTGGAAAGAGAGTTGCACCTATACAGGAAAAGCCTAAATGGGATTGAAAAGCTATGTCTAGACATTGACTGCTTATGCACCAAGCATGTCAAATGCCCTTTTCTTTAATTCAGAGTCTACAGGAACATTCATATGAACCATCTTGCTCAACTTATAACCCTGAGGCAAACTTATAAATAGGATGTGACAATATTCGTGGCATGTTTCAATACAAAGTAGAAGACAGTAGCAAAGGGGAGAAAGAGAATCAATTTTGAGAGGCAAAGCAAAGGATATACAAGGAAAAATTTCTTTCAGAAATAATACTGGCAGGAGTAGTAAAATGGGCATTATTACAAGAATTTCGCTTATCTTTATTTAACTTTAACCAAAACAACCTCCTTTTCCTCTGTACCAGAGATTATCATTCTATGAAGGGTACCAGTCCTGACTTGGAGAACCAATAATTTAATTTTAGCTACTAAAATGTGACGTGGGAAGCTATTTTAATGCAATCAGATATAGCATGATCACAACAGTATGTCAGGAGTAATTCCCTGATTGTAGATGACAAGCTAAGAATACAGAGTGAACACACCACTGTACTCTGAAGCTTTATTTAGCTGCTGAAATTATCAAAGTATTTTTAACCTCTAGAAAATGAGAACAAGATTTGAAGTTTAAAGGCAATTAAAAAGACAGGGACTTCTGTAATCAGGTAAATATCGTAACAGACTGAGCTAGAAGTCTGCTAAAGGTAATACCACAGGTAGTGTATCAGGCAAAGCATAGGCCTGGAGTAATGCCAGCAATTAAATTACAAGGCAAAAACATTTTTTAAGTCTCAAAACCAGGACTGGACTGCTATCATGTATGAGAAGGTATCAGTGATTAAAAGTAACCTTTGTTGGGATGTATTTAAGTAACTGCAGGACATGAAAATTCGCCAGTTATTTAATGATGTGCCCCAGGCCTCCTGCGTGTTGTGGCTGGGTTTCATTGAAATGCCTGGCAGCGTTCACAACAGCTGCCAACCGCTGCCCAACTTCCCACAGAGAATTCCTACAATTCTGTTTTCAAAGGTTCATAATTCAGCCATATCGTATCCCATTGACTAAAATTTGGAATAGTCCTTGAGTAATATCTTTCCTATATTCACGGAGCCTGACTACTTTTTGGCTTTAATTGCAAAATAACATGTGCTGAGCTTTATACAGCTTGTGTTCTTGTGTCTATCTCTATGGTATTTCTTTCCAGCTGCCCTGGAATCCCTGAGGTCTTGACAAATAACCGCATAGAGCAGATAAACTAATTTGTTTTTCATTTAATTTATTCCATGAAATTTAAATTAGTTTGTTCATATTATACAAAATGAAGCTTTTAAAAAGGGTGACATGACTCCTTCATGTATACTAACCAAACTTTTTGAAGCACTTCCACATTTGAACATTTCTGGTGATCTAGGAGAGTTGGTTTCTTTGCTCAACACTTCTGCAGCTGCAGCCCTTAATCAGCCTTTAATTCTACAGTATATTGTGGTCTTTGAGTCAGATGTTCAGGTGGTATAAATTCATGTGTTCTCAGAAGAAAACAAGCTGTTAATTCTGTGAACTAACTTTTAACAAAACCAGATGATTATCAGATGCGTACCTAAAATTGTGTGTCACACCATCAGGCCTGAGTCTTGAGGTGAGGATTGGCTTTTAGCTATTAAAATATTTTAATCACTGTGGGTAGAAATAAAGCTTTTCCTTGACGTTAATTTAAACCACAGTATTTTCTTTCCTTTTTTTTTTTTTAATTATATACTGTATTGCCTAATAGAAAAAAAAATCTATAGAAAAGTGTCCTCTCAGCAGATATACAGGACATTGAAAAAAGAATATACCATTTAGTGAATACAAATTCTGCTGCTTTTCAGCACAAAAATATTTTTGAGGTGGCAAAATAAATCCATGTAAATAGAAATTTGCAGAAACACTTTAAGCATCTGTTTTTCTTTTAAGGAGATCTTACAAAGCAGATAATTTTAAAGTTGTTTTGAATCAAAAGACTCAGCAGTTGGAGACAGACAGTAATTTCACATATATAGCTCTGCTTGAGCATAGCAATAATAACTATTATTTTGTTTTCCAAATGGTAGTTGTGCATGCAAGTAAATGGAGATGAATCTTCGATTGCCAGCATGGATGAATAATTATACTGTAAAAATATTTTAGTCTTTCAAAACTGTGACAATTGAATATCTCTTTCCATGAAACAGTCAGAATTTGTGGTTGTCTTATTCTAGATCCAGAAATGACCTTGTAGCAAAGGGGAAAAAAATAAAGGGGAAAAAAGGATTTGATGATTTCACCAAATTAGTTTATAGTTTTGCGAATGTTCTGTCTAGCTCCGATCCCCCCACAGCCTGGGAAACTGCATGTCTGGAGTTTCAAGCAAACATAAATATCATCTTAAATTTGCACAAGGTTTTGGATATTCTTTCAAAGATGCACACAGTCAGCTGCACTATAGCTTCATTTTCTCGCCTTGTATAGGTGCTGAAAGCTCCTAAATGAAGGTTGTCTTTAACTGCTTTGCCTTTTTGTCAGATGAGTCACCCCCTCAGCTGTGTAAGTGGGGAGCACTTTCATAATTTTCTTTACTGTGCCTTATATCTTAAAGCAGAGATGTGCAGAGGATAAAGATGTGTTGGAGGATTCTGTTGGGATTACACCTACCCAAATGGGGAGAAAAGTGATTCTTAACCACTTTTGGTGTCCCGTGTTATTTTTGTAAAGGCAAATGCAAAAAAAAACCTACTTCTATTTGAAACATTTGATTTGGAAACAAATTTGCTTCTTCCACCACTCAATATATTTAGTGGATATTAAAGAGATTGCATGTTTGGTACCAAGAAGATCATTTAATGGGTTTTGTTTTGAATGCTGTTTTCTGCATCCAGACAATGACATATTTATTTCAACAAGGGTTAATTATGCAGCGTTTAAGATTATGTTCAGGCATGATAAAGTGTATTTTTAAGATAGAAAAAGAAGGTGGAATTGAGAGCTATAAAGTATCATGGGCAGAAGAGAGATAATTTAGTTTCTTCATGGAAATGTGTCAAGAATTTTTATACTTCCTAGGTTTGCCTTCAGTACTGTTGAAAAATTTATTATCTGCCTTTCTTAAGAATTTATGGGGTACTGCTCACATTGCTATCTAATTATCCTGAGCTATATCTGGTATTAGCTATGCAGTTTAAATATCATCCCAGGCTTCGGAGTTGTCTGACTGTGCTGCCGCTCTCATAGCACGTCCTGTGAGCAGAGGCGGGTGCGAAAGGGCCGTCCCATGGGGCACCAAGGTCTCGCTGAGCAAGCAGCTCTGCAACAGAAAGAGCTTGTGGTTCCTCACAAATCCTGTCGACTAAGGCAAGTAAAGGGTAGCGGGGCTGAGTTACACAAGTTCAAGAGCTGTGGCCAGGCAGTGAGTTCTGCCGAAGCCATTTGTGTGGCCTGTGCCTTAAAGCAACTGTATTGGTGCGGTTGTGTTAATGCTTTTCTTATGCAAAGTCCTTATTGCTGCCATCCTACTTGCTGTCGTGGTTACACTAACTCAACATCAACATCGTCTTCTGAGCTGAATATTTGTCCACTAGAACCTTCCACCTGTCAGAAATTTTGTTAATAGGATATATGAGCTTATGGTGACAAGCTAAATAAAAATTCAGGTGCGAGTTTAGGGTTCACCCTAAATAGACTCACTTTCCCATAAGTGTTGGTTCACTTTGTAAATTAAATATTAAAAAATTCGGGTTCATGTATCTCTACTGCTCTAGCTACCGCCTCGGCCGCGTTCAGAGCGGTGCTTCTAGTGAAGCACTTCTCTGTGGTCCATTGAACGTTCGGTCCCGTCAACAGTTTGAACTCTTGTTCATTCCCAGCGCTCAATTTATTGCTGTATTTTGGTCTTTGATCCCCCTTCAAAATAACCAGAATAAAAAGACTAAATCTTTCCCCAGTAGGCAGTGGAAAAGAAAAAAAATTTAGCCTGCTCCAAAGTTATAGCTACATAATTCTGTAAAAATGGGCTATTTTTTTTTATATCTCTCTATTAGAAGTTTGAAAGTTAAACCTGGTATGAGCACTAAGACCCTTAAATCCTGTATTTGGCTGTTCAAAATGGTTTGTAATTTGGTGAAATGTTCTGTTTACTTTAAATACCTCCTTGAGAGCTTATATGCTTGCTTTCAGCATGCTGCTTCACTGCCCACTCCAGGAATATGATTTTCTGAGGATTCACATTCTGATGTTTCTTTTTCAGCTTATGTAGAAAGCAGACGATAAAGTGCAACAAAGATAGGAGAAGTGCATCTTTCTGATATAAATTACTGTTTGTTTTTGGCTAGATATGGCACTGCAGCAAGCTTTTAAACTTCTCAAACATGTCAACTGCTATATGAAGTATGAAAAAAATCCCAGGATACACTATATTTTGACAGTTATGTTCTCCTATTCTGAAACTCATATATTGCAATATACGTCACTTGCTCCCTGGTCTTTTTTTTCCAAACTCTAAATTCTCTTTTGGCAGTTAAAGATTCTGTATCAGCACAGAGCCATGATTCTTGCCCAAAAATGTATTTTACCCACCTGTGCTGGACTGAACAATTCCAGAGTCCACAGTCTGTCCAAGCAGATCATATTGGTTCAATCGAGAGCCATCTTCAGCAACAACCACTGATCTTGCTGGCTCTCGTGTCCATTCATATACGACCTCCGCTCTGGTATAAGCATCTAATTTAAAGGAAATACAGTGCATTTCAGTTTTTATTATTTATGGCTGATATAGCTTTAACGGAAGAAAAAAAAAAAACTTCTGAGCAGTAATTTAGTTATTAAAATCTCTTTATTTTTCTGTCCAGATCGTACAGTTAGCTTATTTAAACTTTGTATTTATGGAAATACTATTGATTTTATTTGTCTATCCATACTGTGGTTAGCTAAACATCTACCACGGTCCTAAAGAAAGTTTTGTCCTCAATGGCATAAAAATCTTTCCCACTTATATACAATCTGAGTAATCAGAGAGTAAGATGGGGAGACAGGGGCCTCACTTGTTTTTTTAACTTTCAAGCACAGTCAATAAAGGTGCAGTGCGGCCTTTGCAGCTCTTTGTGGTGTTGACCGAGTCACTCTAAGATAATAACTTTCTTGGAGAAAGAGCTCTCGGCTAGAGCTCTTGGTTTTGTTTCTCCCACCTGAGAAGGTCCTTGTGGATAACAGGGTGGACATTGTGCAGGCTGCCTAGGCTCAAATGGGTTTAAATTACAGTGGAGGCATTTTGTGGCTTTGCTTATTTCTGGAAAATGCAGGAAGTTCTCAGTTCACACTTATTCAAGCCCTGAACAAAGCAAAATAAAAACACTGCAGTCTTGGTTAGTCTCATATGTTAGCTCAATAGTATTGTGTCTATGGTGTTCCATAGACTATCCTGGTGTTTTGTGTTATCCTTAGGTGTGTTGTGATTCGGGAATTCTTTCCATACTGATCTTTTTCCCTAGTGCCATTGTGAAGCTGTGCTGGCAGCGTGCGTGTCGCCAGTCTGACAGCCCTCGCTCTGAGCGCTCCGGGTGGGAGCTCTTCACCAACATGCAGCCATCTCGTGGGTTTCAGGCATCTGTGAGTACCCAGGACGTACACGTGGGACCAAACACATGCCCAGCACCCACGTCGCTTGCACGCACCACAGGCCATTTGGCTGTATCTCAAATACGATGGCTTAGTGAAGCCAAAATGGCAGTGGACATGTATATTCAGGTAACTAACTGAATCCTACCTGCAGGATAAGATTTCCCCAGGGCCTTTTCAGGAGTGGTGAACAGGAAGGGAGGAGAAGGAATCTGTTTCAGTTGACCTCATTTGTGAGTTAATAATTTTATCTCACCAGTGTGTGAGAGATTGTCAGTAATTGCCGAGGTGGCGCAGGGTGGGTGCGCTGGAGAGTTAATTGCGTGGCATTTGATCCTGCGTTACTGAGGGAG